GGATTCCTCTTCAAGTTTTTCTCTCGTTATGAATGAACAGAGGTAGCTAGCTGTCTTTGTTGGCTTTCCGGAATCCGGCTCGTTACAACCGGCAACCGGGCTCTATGGAGAATTGCGTCGCTACAGCCACTTGTTTACCTAGCGCTTCAGAGATGCGTTACCTAACACACACGGATCTTTCCCTAGCTCCTCCTGGTTTTCAACTGCTTTGCTTTACCGCCGTGATCAGTTCGCATCCGATTCGAGAGATTTCGAGACGCGGAACAACGCGAGGATATTGCTGATACGCGTTCCACTTCCCCGATTTCTCGCCATAATCTATCCGATTCTGCAGCACACGTTAGATCGATTTTGTTGAAGCATTGGACCCTGAAGAGCAGGGAAATTTCTGGAGAGAAAGGAAATATTCACGAGAGGAATGGAGATTTGTTTTCGTTTATCTTTCACACCGGAATCTGTGGGATTGTTGAAAGAAATGATGGAAAAATGATCATTGGTATTTATTGACGTTGATTTTGAACGAACGTATGCTTACAAGAAAAGAGGAATTTAATACATAAAATCAGAGTTTGCAATCTCGCTGATTTCACGCTACGCGTAACAGACGCAGTAACAGTTAGTTCGCCAATAATTTCCTACAGCAGTTCTATTTTTAATTATTATTCTTCGATCTTGCACACAAGTGCTGGCACAGATCCAACAACAGGTATAGCATCAAAGTCGAAGCAATTCAGTTCTTTCGAAGTTCCACGAAATTTAACCTCGTGTGTATGCGGTCTTTTCATCGAACGTGGGGGTACGAGCGTCGTTTACCTTGTGCGCAGTAATGACATCACGATTGCTGTTTAATCGTCAAACGAACGCGTTTTCACCCGGCAAATACGCACGGTGTGTGGCCTCGTAACTCTCCGACGAGCTCACGGGGTTATCGGCGAGAGCGTAATGGAACGTTTCGTGGCTCGCTTATATTTCCAGTCCGATGGAAAATCATCGCGGTCTCTGCCAACGCGCAGACCTTTCCGCAAATTTTTAAATACCATCGTACAGTATTTCATACTGTGAAAGCGAACTTAATGATAGTTGCATTTCTTTCGGTAGTTGCTTACGACAGGGATTGTCGTGATCATTGACGTGGTTTTCTCGTATTTCGTGGTCACGTATGCTCGACCGACGCTACTGTCTGACTGCAACCTCAGCGTCACGTGTGAGAGTGTCGCGTTAAGGATTACGTCGAACCAAACTTTCCGTATATGCTGGTCTAGCTCGGCTTATTATATTATATTAATATTCGGCTTGAAAGATTCCTTGATTTTCATTGATATCCCAGCGTTCGGTCAAACGATCGATGAAAACGGCAAGGCGTGGTATAATCGGTTCGATGTCAATTAGTGGCGAGTCGAGTAAACGGTGGAGGAGGAAGAGGTTCCTCCGGCAGAGTTGGTGATAAAATTCTTTTCCAAGTTATATTAACGCCCGTTATTCGTTCCCGCGAGCTTCCTGGACGAACTTTAATCGTGAATAATGAAGGAGTCAGAGGACGATTATTTTTCTTGCCAAGGGGGAGCGACGATATTAGACAGAAGCCCTATAACTTCGTCCGGCCGCCATTTCTCCCGCTTTCCGAAAAATCCCTACACGTCAACTTGACAAACTTCCATCCGGTTTAATTTCAACCCGAAGCAGCCTGAATGCCACGCGGACGATTAACCCCGGCAAGACGAACCATCTTTTTAAATCTTCCTCTACTTTATTCAATTACACTCGTACACTCGTGCTGTCGCTTCGACGCATTGCCAACGGAATGATCAAATATGTTATTAAAGGGGAATATCTAAGAAGATTCTTTGCGAAAAAGTGAAGAGCATGACTGTATCGATGACAATGAAAAAATTAAATTGACAACTTTGTAAAGGAAAGTCACATACGACGATCCACTTGGTCTTACTTTGAAGCGTAAAGCCTCTATATTGGTTTTTTTCTTTAAAGATGATTTTACATTACATAGTGCCAGTGAGAAAATGACTTGATTCACCGATTGAAGTCTTCACTTTAAGATGATCCCTTAAAATATGATTTTTTTTTTTTTCACCATTTTATTAATAAGATAAGAAATCCTAACGATTCGTCATTTAATCTCAATCTTCAAAGTTCAATGAAATGGTAAGAAATCGTACTCGTTCAGTCTTCAAGACCATAGTGAATTTAGTCATGAAAAAAATCTTTTAATGTTTTTACATGTTTTAATGTTAATGTCTTTACGTTCGTAAAGAAATTTTAAATTTTTAATGTTTGCTGTCTTTACTTTCGAGAAAGTAATAATTTTAATGTTTGCTGTCTTTACTTTCGAGAAAGTAATATCTTCACTTTACCACCCGCTGCACGACGGGCAATCATTTTCTGAAAGAACGAACTCTCGATTGTCAAAGACAAGGTAGAAGCTTTAAGACAATTTAAAACGAGACCAAGTGGATCGTTCAACGATCTTGGTTTTACGAAATTGCATCAGTTTAAATTACATCGACGATTTTTCATCGTCGTTGGTATACAGTTACACTCATCGCTGTAATTGCAAAATGCACGGAGCACGAAACAATCTTGGTTCTTACTCTCTTAGACAATTGCTGCACAAATAAACAAATAATTTATTGCACAAATAAACAAATAAGTCAGAGTGCGATGGACTCGCTGTAATCAGTCAACAGCGTGAACGTGCGTCAATTCGACATGGTAATTTCGTCGAGTGTCATCTGGCACGGGGATAATTCTATCGATCGCATCGAGATCAAGCGTCGGCTGGCCGATAATTGTTACGGAGCTACTATTTGTAATTCATCGGTTCCGCGTGTCAAATTTTACAATGCAGCCTGCTCATTATATTTACAACAAACGCGCGCAGGCACAGCTCGCCTTCACTTGGCTCGTCAATCTGCGCTGTTCGAACAATTTATGGCCGTTTCTCTCTCTTTCTCTCTCTCTCTGTCTCTGTCTCTTCCTCGGTGCATACATACAGATTCATCGAACGATTGTTACCGTCGGCCATCAAAATGCAACGACGATGTTGCAACCGCGACCTGCGTGCACGTCTCTCCGCTTTAATTAGCGTTACAATGATCGGGAAATCCCCGGTATCATAGTGATCGGGCCGGTGTCGCGCGGATAATTACCGCGCGCCGACCTTTCCCGCCCGCGTGTCGTGACTGCAATTTCTGAATTTCCTCTGCGGCTCCCGTTGCAAGGAAGAAAAAACCGGTAATGGACGTTGCTCGCCGATTAATCGAATTTCCTGATTTTCGTGCGGCACGAGGAACGAGGATTTCATTCATTCGCGCGTGTTGGGCATTTCCAATGGGTCGATCAACGACCGTAAACAGCCAGCCAATGGCACGTGACGAAAACCACTCCACCCCGTCAATTTTTGTCATTTCGCTCTTAATTGTTGCCTAACAGACTTGACGTGTTTTTTAATGAACAAGAATTTCTGCCTGTAATTCGATTGTAATCGTATTCTTCTACAGACAGCAATGGGATTTTCCCTTGTCAAGTAAACAAATTAAAAAACCAATTTCTACGAGCCTTTCGAGACACGTCGAAGATAAAAGTATCTGATAGTCCGTGTTTTCTCGAGAAATTCGGGTCAACAATCGAATCGCCTAATAGCCAGGTTATCGAGCTATCGAGAACTCGAAGTCTCGCGGCGCAGATTCCGAGAAAGGGAAGGGCCTGTAGAATAAAATAGCCTAGCGTTTGTTAGCGTTATCGGCCGGCCCTAAAGTGGCCTTATAGAAAAGAGGAATTATTGCACGGCGCCGGGGCAGAGAGATAAGTGGTTTCATCCGTGAAACCGCCGGACAAAACCGTCGCCGTCGCTGGTAACCGTTAGCGGCGATAATAAATTGGCAGAGAATGCCCGAAGGAAGATGCGGTCTGGTGCACGGTGCACACGGGTCGGGCAGTTATCGCGGCTCGGTGGCAAGTAAGGAGAGTAAAACGTTTCGCTTCGAGACTCGGCCGCATAATTCAGTCGCTGCTGGAGGATCGTGTTGCCAATAATTAATACCCCGAGCTCGATAATACAGAACACCGTGCAAATTTCTCCACCGTGCGACGGAGTACTCGGAGTGTCGTACTTTCTGGAATCGTCTCGAGTGCGAGCTGACGATCACGCTGACAGAAGTCCCGGATATCAACGAAACTAGCGAGCTTTGATATACAAAGGACATTCGCTGGCAGCTGTCGCGTAAATCGTCCATCGCGGCCTCGATTTCTTGGGAAATTTATTAAAATACTGAAACGAAATTGGGAAGGGGAGAGAGAAAGAGAGAGATGCATTAAAGTAGCCGGACAGGAAGGAATCGAAGGGGGATGGAGGAGCGAGTCAATGGCGACGTAATCTTATTGCGCGAGCATGGACGTGCGCGCGCGTGCAATTCCTCGTGCAGACCGGAGTAGCATAACTTTGCACTTTGTCTCCGAGGAATTGTAGCAAACTGGCACGGCCTACGGGGGAGGGGGAAAAGAGAGGCAGAGTGGAGGAGGGCGGGAAGTTCGGTAATTCACGAGTAGCTGTTTCGACGACAACGAAGACGTCGATGTGTTTTCGCGTACACGACCGCTTGGCTGCTGCAGATAATTTCGCCGCTGTCTCGAGAAGTTCGCATCGCCGCAGGTGTTTGCCTCGCGACCGGATCGAAAGGTTTCGCCAGACTTCCGATACGTCGGCGACGCCTCGAAACATAGTTCGCCTCGTGTCCCGCGGCTTGTCATCCCTTTCAAATTGCGTTCCTTTGTGAAACGCTGAATTTCGAGCGAAATTTGCAACGCGTAATTTCGTAGCCGCGTGAACGTACTTTCTTAATACAATCTTTCAAACAGAGGTTAAGAGTCGTCGCGGAAAAGTGAAATGTGCCACAGACATGTAGAGGTTTAATCGTCAGAAACCGAAGAGAAAAAAGGAGGGGAACTTATTTCGAAAGAGACTAATTGCTTTCGTATTCTTGCAGACATGCTACGAGATGGAGAGGTACCTGAAGGACGAGCCGAAGCTGCAGTCGTACAAAAAGTTGCCCACAGAGTTGGACACAGCGCCGTGGAACCTCTTCAGGGCGCCGCCTATCTCGTGGACAGCATCAACCGGCACCGCCAGCGCACAATTCGAATCGCCAATCAAAATGGAGGTGAGTACGCGTAAGCCAAGACCGCACGCGAAACGTCTGCCAAGGGGTTCGCTTTCCACTGTTCCAATCGCTACGAGCGATCTGTGTCTGCAGCCACGTGTCAAAGTCGATTCTTTCTTTCTTTTTTCCCTGGTGCTCGCGCGGCGTAGGTGACGACGTCGTCGGAAGACAGAGAAACGCTCTGTCTGGACGATATAAAGTTCAGTCCCGGCGATCACAACCACAACGGCCGCGATAGGGATCTGCTGGACCGGCACCTCGATTCCTTGTCGATGTCGTCATCGAGTTCGGCGTGTTCGGCGCTGTCCTGGGACAGTTCGCCCTCCGTATCGTGCACGGCGTTCATTCTCAAGAAAGAGCCCAGCGAGGACCTCGAAGAAGACGAGGAGCACGAGGTGCGTCCCTTTGTCGGATTTGCATGCGAATCTCACGAGTCTTTCCGTCTTTCGTAGTGATCTGTTCCTTTAGTTTGATCGAATTTCTTATTAGATCGTATTCTCGGATACTTCGCGTACTTGGATCGCAGTTATAGTACGATGCATGCGTTTTCTGACGAGCTAAAGTTCCAGCACATACGTCGAAAGAAAGACCGACACACTCCTCTGACTGACCGGTGTCGTCGTTCTTTGAATCTCTCGCTCGTTCGTGAGAACACGCATCCACGAGCAGAGTAACTTCTCGTACTCTGTTATTTCCCTTTTATTTCGTTTCGGGGAAACGAGTTCCGTGCGGGGCTATTAATTCGCGTGAATGCCGCGAAAGGAACGATCAGACGAAATTAATTATCGCGGCTGGTGCGTGCGCCGCGGCAAGAACACCTGCGTTTACAGGTTCAATCGTATCCAACACTCCTCCCCCATCGCCACCCCCCCCCCACTCTTTTTCGCGCGGTGTCGTTTCAACGCGCGTATCACTCGCACACAACGGCCGTCAAATTTCAATTACCCTCAAATGCCGGCTGTTATACAAATAACGATTCTTCCTGTTTTCTGCCACGTGTAATTCGCGGCGCGCACGTGCACACGGCCGCGCGTTTACGTACGCGTGGCCGTGTGTAATCCGTTTACGGGGTCATTTGGCATTGATCGATTCGCACGGCGCGGTGCGACCGTATCGATGCTCGATATACCGTTTTAACTAGTTGCTTGCACTTTAATCAGAGGCATCTCTCTCCCTTACGGTTATCGTAATCCCGTTGGGTAATGAATTACGTTACCCGATATCAGGAAATCGAGGAGGAGGAGGACAGCGGCTGCGAAAGCGAAGGTCAAATCCTGACACCACCGTCGAGCCCGGGCTCGGGTCAAGGTCATTCCAACTCCAGTCACTCGTCGAGCGGGAGTTCGATGCTCGACGTGCAGAACCTCAACCTCCATGGGACGGGCGGCAGGAGCGCCATCGTCAGGGTTACCGCCAGCAACGCGCAGGGTGTCGCAAGGTAAGCTGCTTCTTTCCCTTTACGATCATCTTTCGAGATCCGTAGTCCATAGTGAAGATTTGAAGAATTTGATTTGCGGTTAGTTATCTCCTGGTTTCACCTGATTCCTTAAATTTTATTCGTTGCCGTGAGAAGTATAGCGAATCTGTTTCGCTCCGCTTGGACACCGCCATTGACGGAACTCCACGCCAAAAGTGTACACATTGATCGAATGATTTTCCGAGTCCATCAACCTGTTTTGAAGTAGAATCCTTTTTGAATTTCCTGGTAACATTTTTACAAGAATCTAGAATGTTTTCTTCTTTTTTTTTTTTTTTAAACAGACTTTAATCTTTCAAATAAAAATCTAATCTAGCTAAAACTCTAACCCAACTAAAAATTTAATTCAAAACTTAACCTAAATTTTTAAGAGGTTAACAGTTACGCTTACATAGCCGGTCTTTTCCGATAGATTAGGAAAGATTTTTTTTTATTACAATAATTTCTTGTCGCACGAATATTTCACATGTCGAATAGAGAAAATAGAAAAAGCTCGTCTTGATGGCTAAAGTGTATTATGTAATTACTTCAATATATCAATAGATTCCGTGCTTTTAACGAAAGGGTTAATACCGTCCTAGTTACGCAAAGTGGTGTTGGTGTTTTATTTCAATTTCGAATCGAATTTTTGCATCGAGGAAGCCACTCTTCTAGTAAGATCCATCGAGTGATTAACGAGAGTTCCGCTCGAATTCGCCAAGTTTTTCTATTTCGTCGAAATTTATGCCGTCCGTCTCCGTTGATAATGCATCGTAAAACCGCGCGGAGAGTAAATAAAGCGGGCACAGGCTTTTAGCATTTATGCAAAGTTCGATAACATGTAAATTGCGACCTAGAAACTGTAGCGAGGGTGCCGTTTCTATTTTCGCGACTTCCACTATCGATGGTAACCACGTCAAACGAATTCTGGGGAAAGGTTCGTCGGGACGAGCGAGCCGTCGAACGGGGTCGGCTCCGCGCCGAAAAAAATCTCGACAGCGGAAAAGATCGGGAACAGTTTTACGGTTCGACTTGGAGTGGAAAATGGCGGGTTAATAACACTGTTCGGCTTTCCATTTTCTTGCAGACTGATCTCCGTCACAGCGAACGGCTACCCCGCGGTCGCGGGCACGCAACACGCACACGCAGGGACAACTGCAGCTGCGAACACCGTGGCCAACAGGCACCACGCGAGGAGCCACGAGCACAGTCCGCCTGACACGAAGCGCAGGATACACAAATGCCAGTTCCCGGGTTGCAAGAAGGTGTACACGAAGAGCTCGCACCTGAAAGCCCATCAGAGGACGCACACAGGTGAGTTGTTGAGTGACCCGCGTCTTCCCCACGACGCGCACTGTGGTTGCCAGCCCATGGATCGATTAGTTTGTGATTAGAATCGAAGAGAGAGAGAGAGAGAGAGAGAGAGAAAGATTTAATGGAGCAAAAAGTTTGGCCGGAACAGAGCGATCGATGGGTCGAGTAACGCGCCTGGAAACAGAGCGTCCAAGCTTCGATTAACATTCCCCCGAGAGTTTCTTTGCCAGGATCGTTCTGCTCGAACTTTCCTTTTGCTCGTTCGTTGCCGAGCTGTTATTAGCGAATGAAGAATTGCAGAAGAATTCTTAAAACCCAAGTGCCGTTATCCCATTCCTTCTCGCGCCACTTTAGCCTCTTAGATCGTCGATCGGAATCGCAGAGATTCGTAACGGTTTGCGATAATGATCGAGCATAAGCATTCGGTCGTCGAATTAGAGAATCGAATGCGTAAAAATTTCGCTACATTCGGCTCTGCCGTTGAAAACAACAGATTTCCTTTCGTCTAGAAACGTATCCGTTTCCGCAGAAAACGTGTGCAATTCTATTACCTTCGAAAATGTCTAGAATCACGATCGTTTAACGAACACCGTCCTAACGAGACCGTAAATTACTACAGCACGTCGGAAAGTATACGTAACGTGTAATCAAGGCAGATAGGAAAATCATACACTTGCACACCTTAGTGCTCGATAAATTTCGTTCTGCTACAAAGAAATGTTGGAACTCTTTCCCAAGCGATCCTAATTCAGGTCGATGTAAAAAAGGAAGAAAAGATGTCTCTTTCGGATTCTTTTTCATTGCGCTTTCTGTAATTAAGCTGAACATGAGTTATCAATTGTGGAGTGTAGCCTGGGCTACTATTAATAAACGCTGTCTTCTGTCTTCGTAGGATACGGCGAGGTCGCTCGATAATTTCGCGCGCTTCACGCGACACCGCGCGCCCTTTCTTCGCGATTCAGTTAATCGTTAGTCACGCGATTATCCCTGGCGTCTGTCGAGAAGGAGGATGAGGGCGAGAGGGATAGGGCAGTGGGGAGGAACGGACGGGAAACAATCGTGGACGCATCCCGGCGAGAGCAGCCAGGGATAAATTCCCCGACGCGTTCCCTGCCTCCCTTATCGCGGCAAATAACAATGCATAATTAATTACGAAGCTGAATTAAGGGAGAGCCTGTTCGGCTTGTACGCTCCGAGGTACTCGAATCGTGTACCTCGCTGGCCGGATGAACGCGAGGCCCACGTGCGCGAAAACCGGATGATACATGTTTAATACCGTCGAACCAGCCTGGCTGCGTGTTTTCTTCGATCGATAGGGGAAACAACCGTTCTTTGCCACTTGCCGGTACGACTTAAATTACGCTTATCTCTTGACGAGAATATAACACGCGGTGGCTCGGCGAAGATGTACGGTTAATCGGATTTCGATGTAGTCATTCGCTTTATTTATCGCGTCCGGGGGGAGGGGAGGGGCCCGCATCGTTATTAAAGGATAATTTTCAGAAATCGGATGCGATTTCGCCGGATACGATAAGAAGGCGTGGACTCGAGAAAAAGCGGGATAAATTATTTCGTCTATATCTATTTCTGCCCAATTCCCATCAAATATCCGTGACCGCGCTCACTTCGCTCAAACTCTGTTTGACTCGAACAATGATGAACATTCAAAAGCTTATGCTCGGAAAAAGTTGATCCCTGGAAAAATTCACCTGGACATTCGGCGCGAGAAAACAAACGAGACAAGCGAGACAAGCGAGTAATCTTGGCGAGCATCGCCGTCATTTCCGTAAGCCGCGTCACTTTGAGCAAAGAACTGACCGAACACGTTATTACCATGCAGTCACATGCTCCTCTTCGTCTCGCGGCTCTTCGCAGTCGGTTGCGGCAGCAGGTGACGCTGGAGGACCGTAATTAACGAGGACTCCCTTCCTCTTTCACTCGTCTCGCTCGCAACCCCCTTCAACCCTTCTCTTTTCGTCCGTAGTTTTTTGTCGCGTTACGCCTCGAATCCCTTCGGCGGGAGCAGATACGCGTTCAGGTGTACACGCGCGTAATTACCTGCGTGCGCCGTGTCTACCAGCAAAAAGTCGCGCCCGCTCTTCTTCTACATATA